GCTGCCTCCTCCTCACATTTGGTGCGTTCGTCGAATCTCAATCCTACAACGTTAACCCAGGATTACGAATTTTTTTTTTGGTCAGGCTGGTCTCAGAGGAAAAACTTTGTTTACCATTTGTGATACAGGCAGGAAGATTCGAACACCCATACCCAGTGGCATCCTCCCTTACCAATTTGACCAAACTAGTCGCGGCGATGATCGCTTCGCCATCGCTATTACTGAACAATATCGATAGACGATGGAGTATATCATGACATGAACTTTCATACTTACCCAAACACTGACAGAGCGGATATGCGGAGCTCTTGCACAGGCACACATTCCGGCACAACTTGTTATTGATACATGTGTGGAGACGGAACTTCGCGCACCCGCTTTCGGAACGAGCAGCTACAATGAAGAAGTGGCTCATTTGGATAGGTACATTCAGGTGTATAAGACCTGAGGCCTGGACCTTGAAGCTTGAAGCTTGAACGAGGAGTACTGACAGGAGGAATGGTCCTGGTGGTAGGGAGCGTGCAAGACATCGGGAGGAAGGGGGGTGCCTTGTTGGACAATTATCATGCCAGATGTAAGAAACCTTCGACGTCGTTTGAGATATGTGTACTACGACTTCCGTGTACCCACCAAATGCAGCACGGAGATAAAGCAACTCCGGACTTGATTTCCCTCAGTTCGGTATGCTGAGGAAGATCTACTAAGTAGGGAAATAATAACGAAGCCAAGTTCTATTCAAACACTCCCAGAGAGTGTTCAGATCTGTTAGGAATTGCGCTGGAGCTTTAATGATTCGACGCCTTTGAACACATTGTTCTAGTCTAAAAAGAACGATAATAAAGATGATGAGAGGGAGATTCGAACTCCCGCCCCCGAAGCCATCGAGCAGATGATACCTTAGTCTGGCGCCTTAGACCGCTCGGCCATCTCACCGATGTACTGGTGAGATGGCCGAGCGGTCTAAGACATTGGTAGGAGGAGGCTATCAAAATTTTAAGCGCCGAGACAAATTGGGATGAAGATTAGATTCTTGATTAGATTCCTGATGAGCCACGTGGCTACAGACTTGCTTTTGTTTTCTTGTTCTTTTCCGTCAAGCTTTCTCGGGTGTTCGTTCTTGAAAATGTCGAGACTTGTTTTCTCTACATTCTCATGTTCAGTGTTTTGCTTCCTTCTACCTCTATGACCCGGTTTGTACCGATTTTAATCCCATGATGATGTTGAATCCAGGACTCCCTGCTCTGGACCTGTCCACTGCTACACGCACCACATTGCAAGTGTACTGGAATGTAACTAGAACGGATCACAGGAAGTAACTCCATCGCCTCTTCCTGAGCCTCTCTGTGTTTCACGATGCTCATCCAACTTGCTTTAGTCATATGCGTGTTGTCTTTCGTCATTGTCGACACGAATGGGAACACCCGCCTAGAACTCCGACCTCGCCCACCATCTCAACCTCTGCTTCATCCTCTGCCTCTGTAACCTCCACGTTTAGAAAGTGATTACCGCGTCTCTTTTGGAGTATTATTCAATTCTTGGTCTAACAAGCCATCAGTCAAATTAATCGAATGCACAAGGATGGCATTGAGTACAATCTTATCCACTTCCACATCTTCTTAATGGTCATGGAATCGTCATAGGTTGCGCTCCATAGGTTGTTTATCCGTCTGTCTCCTCACGGATCGGTGCTTCCTCCAGTGCAAGTCAAAGCTCCCGGAGAGGATAATGATTGTTGACATAGCGATGTAAGACAGCGTTTTCAGTGGCTACCAGACTACTAATGACATGTACGCTATTGTGATAAGGCAGTTGTGCCAAATATACAAGTTTGGCTGAGTTTCATGCGAAAATATCTTTTTCGCTTGAATCATGTGAGTATCTGCTTGAATCGACAAGAGTGAGGGCAGCGCAAGTATGAAGTGAATCAAGGATGGAACGCAACTTACATAGGGTCAGATGAACGGATGTAAAGGAACCACGGCCAAATCTGATGAACGGCTCGACTTTGGAAATTGGATTGAATTCTGGAGATGAGACTCGTTGTCTCGTTCGGCTTGTTTAAGGAAGGTGGATACGTCAAATATGATGGACACATGATACATTGAAAAACATATCTTCGTCGTAGGTTCTTCACGGAAAACTCAGAAGATAGTTACTCGCTATCTGGACAACACTGGCAGGTTCTCTGCGGCGATGCCAGGTGGCCGTGAAACCAGGAAGGAAAAGAACCACATCGCCCTGTGGCGTTCTTTTCAAGGAAGTCATTGAACCTGCACTTACTTCCAAACAGGACTTACAGCTCGAAACATATCGGATTTGATCCTGCATCACCCTAACGTTCATGATACCGAATTCGCCCCACGCGCCATTCAGTCACTGCCGGTTGAGCCTGATGAAATACTCCTCTTGTTGAGCCTCTACAACTGCTCCATTGGCAGTCGAACTCAAGCCAATAAATTCCCAGTCGATAAAGACTAGAGTTTCTTGTCGCCCGCAATCATTCTCCGCAGCTCTCTCCGAATCAAAACACCGGATTAGTCCGGATATGAAACAAAACTTTGGACATACATAGATCTTGGAAAGGTTGAAGAAAGGAGATATGTAAACCCCAGGATCAAAATGAAGAAAAATTTTATGAAGACGACGGAGATAACTATGATACCATCTCACTACAATCTCCGCTCGACATAGCCTCAACGTCCACCGCAGTTCATTCTTTCGAAAAGTCGTCCGATACTATACATAAGGCAACACG